ATGTGCTCAGAAAAAAAAAATCATTTCAATCAAGTATCTTTTTTTTTTAGTGTCTTTTTGTACAAAGCACAGGCCAGAATACAAAGACATATAAGATGCCCACAGTCCTGCCATTAAATAAAGTGTCCTCTGAGGAGAATTTGTGTGCTATTTATTGATTGATTTTCCCCCCACAGTGGTTATAAGCTTATTCAGTGATTTTATAGGGAAAACATCCTTCTCGATCTTTGAGAAAAGTGAATAGTTCTTTCTTATGTGACAGTATTGATCTAGAAATGAATACTTGTAACAGTAAATAAGTACACACCTTAATAGGTATGTATTGTATTAATTATCACCATTGCCCATGTTTAAAATCTGAAACAAATAGCAAATGGAAGGCCCCAGCAATGTCGTTGTGTCCATTTATATTTTATAATGAATTGAAAAAGTATGAGGCGTGTGTGTGTGTGTGTGTGTGTGTGTGTGTGGTACTAGAGATTTAACCCTGGGGCACTTTACCACTGAGCTATATATCCTTATAGCTCAGTTTTTAAAACATTCCCATTTTTTAAATTTGGAGACAGGGTCTCACTAAATTGCTGAGGCTAGCCTTAAATTTGAGGTCCTCCTATCTTAGCCCCCCTGAGTCACTGGGACTACAGGCAGGAGCCACCATGCCCAGCATTATGGTGCTTTTAAATGGGCTTGTTTCTGTACTGCAGATATCAGTTACACACATCTGCTGGATCAAGAACGTATTCTGTGGTTTTGCTGGCCACACTCAAAGTAGAAATCACAAACTAGAATAGGTGTTAAAGGAAGGTGTTAAAATGGTCAAGGGTAAAGAAAGATTTTCAGATCAGGCCAAAAATATGTTTATTCAATTTAAAAATATGAAAGAAATATGGAAGGAAAATTATAATGTTCCTTCCTAATTACAGAAACTTGAAATTAGGGGCACCTTTCAGAGTCGGGAATGGACAACTTGAGTGCAAAATACTTCTTTTCATAATTGAAAGCCACTAAGTTCATTATAAGACTATAAATCAGGTCAGAAGACAGAAAAGATCAAGGAAGTTTAATAGACCTGTGGAGACTGTAGATCTTGCCTCCTGGAAATGCAGGCTAACCATTGATTTGGTTCCTTCCAGCAAAACATCCATCAGTGGGCTCATCAGCACAGATTCACCCCTTTGTGAAGGTGGTAAATTCCTGCTCATCCACCTTCTCTGAGGCTGATCCAGCTCCTCCCTAGACAGCCTATACATGTTCCATTTTGTTTTTACCTCTATTGTTTTGTTGACTCCAGTATAGTAGGCCTACTTCCACACCACCTGAGAACCCTTTCTCAAGGATACGGCTCATATTCATGTTTTCTCTGCAGCCCCTGCCTAGTACTTAGCAGAAAGCAAAAACATTCAGTAAAAGTTGGGGTTATGATCCAACCAGTAGGTTCAAGCTCTTTTCCAACCTCCATATCCATAAGTAAATCATAGTTCTTATTGAAATTTTCTCTATGTTTAATAACACAGCCAACTAGTGTAGTAAGTCAGGCAGAGAATAGACTTTGGAACCAGACAAACTCAGGGTTTTCTGGTTCCACCACTTCCTAGCTGTGCCCTTCCTGGGCCCCTTTGAACCTAAGTCCTCTATCTAGAAAGGTCACCCTTACTGTGTTGTCCTGGCACATAATGGACACTCAAGAATTAGGAGCTGCTGTTATTACACTTTCTTAATGACTTGTTTAATTCAGTGCATATTTTGTGGATATTATAAAATATAGACCTGTCATATGGACCTTATAAGCAGAAATGAGAGTAAATAAGTACATACATAAGTAACCCACAGAGCATGCTGGGGAGACGGGAATGGCCCAGAGCAATGAAGGGAGTTCACAGACCAACAAATGATGCATCCCTGTTTGGGTACAACCAAAATTGCTTCCCAGTCATCAGACTGGCCATCTTAGTATTTGTTTAATACAAGGTTGTTCTTATTTTAATGTTATTAATAAACTGCATAGATTGTATATCAACACAAGCAATGCTGGATAGACTTGATAAAAACAGCTTTCTTCAATCCAGTTTTACTAGGATAACTGAGAGAAAATCATAGTTAGGTTTCTGTGTTACCTGCTGACTTTTGAAAAATATACCCCCCAAAATAACAATTTCATGACTATTTTTATTATTGTAGTTTCATAAGTCCAGGAGTCTAGAACTGGCTTTAATAACTTGATAAACCTAATATCATTTAATTCTGCTTTGATGATATGCTGGGATCAGAAGTTCAGAGGGACATTTGGAATGGATCTCTTCACATCATCTCTTGCTTTTCAAGGCTTTCAATAATAGACAAACAGCGAGTTGGCTTTGAACTAATTTTCATTTTTTTCCACTTTAAACAAATTAAAAGTTCTGAGAAGAGCAGGTAGAAGGAATTGGATTATGTTAATACCTCCTCAGGAATACCAAGGGAGATGAGGACTGACTTCTGCATTGTATCTTTTTTTATTCCACTTAATATTTCTAGTGAAAGAATACCAATACCCTGGCAGGCTTAATTATTCAAAATTAAAAATTATCCATAGCTACTTCAACAAATGAATCATCAAACTGGTATATCCATACCATGGACTACTACCCAGCAATAAAAAGGAGAAAACAACACAAGAAGCAACCTGGATAAATCTCCAGAAAATTATGTGGGCTTAAAAAAAAAGATAATCCAAAATGGTTGCATACTGTATAATTTCATTTTCATCCTTAAAATGAAAAAGAAAATTATAGAGTGGAGAACAGATTAGTAGTTGCCAGGGATGAGGATGGATAAGATGGGAAGGAAATGAGTATGACTATAAAAGGGCAACACGAGGGATCTTTGTGGTAATGGAACATTCCGTAGCTTGATTGTATCAGTGTGAATATCCTGGTTGTGATAATGTACTAAATTTTCACACTATGTTACTATTGGATGAAAGTGGGTAAAAATACATTAGATCTTTGTGGGTTTTTTCTTTTCTCTCTCTCTTTTTACAAATGTGTGTATATCTACACCTATCTCAAAATAAAAACTCAAATTTAAAAAATAGCCCTAGTAATTTCCACATGGATAGCCACATGATTTGTGGCTTAAACATCAAATCTTTAACATAATTAAATCGTGCTGCAAAAATCAGTAGCTTATATAGTAACTTTTTTGTTCTTGTAGAAGACTTTGAACATATGTACAAGAACAGAATGAAGTATAAGTAGGAAAATAAAGAAAACTACTATTACCTTTTTAGTGTATTTCATTCAGGGTTTTTTCTGAGTTTGTGTTATATAATTTATTTTTAAATCATAATTGGGAATATACAGTGCATATGGTTTTGCATTCTACTATCTTGAATTTTCTATCATGAGGATTTCTCTACATCTTCACAAATTCAAAAATAATGTCCATTTGGTTACATATTGCATCATATATATATTCTGTAATTTATGTAATCACTGTCAGATTTATCTTTATTTTCTACAACAAACATCCTTATATATAAGCAAGTCTTCTCCTATTCTTTTTCCATAAGGTAGGTTTTTTATAAATGGAATTCCTTAATCAAGCACATGAACCTTTTTAAGGTTTTATAATGTATGTTACCAGATTGCTCTCTAGAAAAATTGTACTGATTTACATTCTCACCAATAAGTGAACAACAGTGGATGAGATCTGACATATGAAGAATTAGGCACAGCATAAAGTTCCCGAAGAGAAATCTATTTTAATTGAAAGCAGGGTTTATCAGTCTCAGCACTACTAACATTTTGGGCCAGATAACTATTGTTGGAGTGCTGTCCCAGACATTGTACGGTATTTATCAGCATCCCTCTCTCTCTAGATGCCAGTATCTGCCCTCTCCCTGCTGTTTTGACAACCAAAAATATCTCAAGATTTTAAGAAATGTTCCCTTGGGAAGCCAAATTGCCCCTAGTTGAGAACCACTGATCCAAAGACTTAAATGTGCAACAGAACATTTATTCTTAGACTTTCTCTGGTGTATACAAATATTCTGAAGTCTAGACTCTTAGGGTTCTTTTCTGATGGAGGATATATGTGCATATTGTATGAAGAGTAAAAGAGGTCAACCATTTCTTTTTTTTAATACCTTTATTTTATTTATTTTTATGTGGTGCTGAGGATCAAACCCAGCGCCTCGCACTTGCTAGGCAAGTGCTCTACAGCTGAGCCACAACCCCAGCCCTTGACCTTTCTTTAAGGCTATGCGAATGACTTTGATACTAATCAGTGTGTATCTTTCCTTGCTATTACCTGCCAGGGGTCCTTGGTTATCAGAGGAAATGTAGCAGTGTAGTGACTTTGTCCTACAAACATGGATTGTCTTGAAACTGCATATGATATCTGGAAGTATCAGTTAGTATAGATACTCTTTGTCTTTGTCTTCTGAATAACATGGGCCCAAAAGAATGAGAATGGTTTTGGTTTTCTTGATTTTGCATGTAAAGAAAAGAAGGAATGAAGTGGATTTTTGTAGCTAAAGTATGAGACTTAAAAATCCTCCAAAGTTTATTTTAAGTGACAGGTACTCCCAGCAGAAGGTTTGTCTCCCACACCTACAGCTGGCTTTTGTTTCGTGATGGAGTTCCCCTGTGTAAAAGGCCCTCCTGTTGTTTCTATAATATTTCAAAACACCTTGAGATCCCGACATCCATTCTTTCTGATATACAACTTGCTGCACCCATATCTTCTAGTAGCTCAGAGTTGATGAATGTCCTTCATTCAAATAAGACAAGCTTCACCTTATCTTTGAAAAATGAAGAGCACACAAATACATTGTTTCAAACACAAACTTTCCTGAAATACTCTGCCCTTAAATGATTGGAAACTCATTTAAACCTATCCTTCAGTAAAGACGCTAGCGTTCAAGTTCTGATGTTAATTTTTTGTTCTTAAATATAAGTTTAGGTTAGTTTGAAACTGATTTCCTGTACTAGCTTTTTCCTTTCTGTTTGCCCCCACAGGAGCAGTTTCACAGGTGCTGGACAGTCTAGAAGAGATTCATGCGCTTACAGACTGCAGTGAAAAGGACCTAGATTTCCTACACAGTGTTTTCCAGGATCAGCATCTTCACACACTGCTAGATGTAAGTCTTATTTTTTATTATTCTTTTTTTGTGGGGGGGCTGGGGAAACAAGTTGAGTATCAAGCATACCTTTTTACTTTTCAGAAATCCTGATATCCACCCTAACAATCCTATTTCAGTTGCCTTAAATCTCTGAGAAATGTGGAAAATCATCCATCATAAATTCAGAATTGAAATAAAGTGTTTGTATACTACAAATGCAATAGCCTAGCAAGATTCAGTGGAAAATTATATACATATACATATGTATTTATAAATTACATATGCATGCAAATGATATGTGAGTTTTTTTAAAGCACATAGCACAACCCTAATTTACTGCAGTCTCTTTGTTTCTATTAGAGGAATCCATTAATCTATAGCTGTGATTACTTTTTTAATTTCCTTTAAACGTTGTTTTAAAACATTATTAAAAAAACATTATGCCACAAGCCTGAATATAGGAGAGAGAAAAACAAATGAGATACTATGCAATGGATTGTGTTCACACATTTCATATTTATCATTGCTGGATTTCATAGAATCAGTATCTTTTCCTTAAAACATGAGTAGATTCCATCATTTAATATGGCAGACTCCAATAACAGCAAATTGGGACCCAAAGAAAAAAACAAGCTGTCCCATACATTTCTGCCTTCACTCCACTCATGGTTTAAGTAAAATTCCTTTCTTAGACAACCTGGTTTGCTTTAGCACTGAACATATTCTTGGGTGCTTCTGATGGTATTAATACATGCTAGTCATTTTACAAGAAAAACCTTTTCTTAATAAGAGAATGAGGGCTGAGCATGTGGCTCAGTGGTAGAGCACTTGCCTAGCATGTGCAAGGCCCTGGGTTCAATCCCCAGCACAGCAAAAAGAGAGTGATATTTGCTTTGGGGTCCCAGAACTGTTTCATGCTGATTAATCTACTATATGATACAAATTACACTAAAGCAAAAGTTCCCAGAGTGTATTCTACAGAGCATTCTTCTGGGAGATAGTGATGGGTGTTACCACAGTGGGAAGGGAAAGTAGATCTTAAATTTATTGGTTAAATTATTCATTGCCCAAATAAATTTGGAAAATGCTACATTCTTTTGTACCTTTATGCACAATGGACATTATTATATTGACAGCTCTGAGATGTCCTAAGACAAAGAAACCTATTGAACTTTAACAGCATTTCTCAAACTAATTTTATTATGATATTTTATTTACAATCCTGTTGAGCTCTGTTTTGATGAAGACTAGTTTGGAATAAGCTAAGCCAACAGTGTTGTGTTGCTTCAGCTTCAAACTATGTAATTGTATATATCTGATATTTAGTTCTAGAATTCCATAAGTTAGGTCAGTTCAAATTAATTACCAGATTTTGGCTTTTTACATAGTGCACATATTTATCAGTGCTAACAGCTATAACAACATGTGATTCTAAAATCTGAGTGACTAATCAGAAGAAAAGCTTATCTCTTGCTCACCTGACAGTTCAATGCCAAGTACATAAGGGAAATCTCTTCCACAAAGTCATTCAGGGACCCAGACCTCTTCCAGCCCTGTGGCTCTGCTGACTCCCAGTGCCTGGGAATTTCCTCTGCATCCCTTGCATCCAGCCAGCAGACAGAAGAGAATATGGAGAATCTTGTAGGGTCAAGAGTAGAAATAGGCTATATCAATTTTGCCCATATTTCATTGGCAAGTACTAGTCACATGCCTACTTAGATGCAAGAAAGTTGGAAAATATAGTTTTGAAACAAATTTAGTCAGAAAAAATGAAAGAAAGAAATTTACTTGACAAGATATGGAATTGAATCTTTGCTTTTGTGTAATTTATTTTTATTGTGTAATTATTACTTTTGTGTAATTTATTTTGTGTAAATTTTTTTATACTGGGAATCAAACCTAGGAGCACTTTACCACTGAGCTACATCCCAGCCCTTTTTATTTTTTATTTTATTTTTTTAATATTTATTTTTTAGTTGTAGTTGAACACAATACCTTTATTTTCTTATTTATTTTTATGTGGTGCTGAGAATAAAACCCAGGGTCCCGCACGTGCAAGGCAAGTGCTCTACTGCTCAGCCACAACCCCAGCCCAGCCCTTTTTATTTTTGAGGGAGAGAGTCTCACTGAGTTGTTTAGGGGCTTGTTAAATTGCTGAGACTGGCCTCAAACTTGCTATCCTCCTGCCTCAGCCTCCCAATTCACTGGTATTATGGGTCATGTGCTACCATGCCTGGCTGTTTTAAGCAATTTGAGTATTTCAGATTACATTTATTTTAAATAATTTAGTTGCCTTGAGCACTAGAAAGCCCTTGAAATTCATTCTATTTCATGGAGAGCTCGGTAGCATTCCATTATCATGATCTTCTTAATCATCATCATTGTTTTTGTTATGTTATTTGAATTAGAATTTGACTTCTATTCACTTGTTATTTAAATGTATATTGTTCACTGTCATTTGGTGCTAAAAAATTTTTTTGTTTTTATCTCTTTTTTAATAAATTATTTATTTTACAGTAGAATGCATTTTAACACATTGTGCAGAAATAGAGCACAGTTTCCTAAGTGTGAATTTCCCACAGAAGTCATTCCCCCTTTTACTAGAACTAGTTAGTAAGATATTTGTAAGAAGCTGTAGAGTGGAGATTTTGTTTATTTCAGTGATTAATAAGGTCACTGCTGAGTAGATTTGCTGACCTTTTTTAAGATCAAGGACTTTTTGTAAGGTAAAGGCTCAGAGTAGCCCAAATTGGTTTTCAAAGTTGTACTGCAGGGGAGGTGTTTTGTATGGCTGTTTTGTATTCAGACACAAACTGGACTTTCCTGCTGAGCCAGATTGCCACTTAGTCCCAGTGTAGAACTTCTCAGACCTTACTAGAAATATTGATTTTGAGTATCCAAACTGAACTATTGAGTATATCTGAGTATCTAAACTGAACTATCCTTAAATGAAAGCTTCATCATCATGAATAACATAAGGCATAGATTCTGCTCTTCTACTCTTTTTTTGCATTTTAAATCTTTTTTAAAATTTATATATGATGGCGGAATGCATTACAATTCTTTATATATATATATATATATATATATATATATATATATATATACACATACATACATACTGGACTTTTTGGTACAAATCATCACATTTTCAGAAACATTCATTGATTTAGTAAGGAAAACATACTTAAACTTTCTTTGAATTCTTTTGAATTACAAACCTAAATAAGTATCTGCATGATCAGCACCTAAGCCCGGTCAGTGCAGCTTGATTTAAAAAGAAGCTATTGGACTGAAAATGAACCATGCCCATTAAAAAGACAGTGGTAGAGCCTTGCCTAGCATAAATCCCAGCACCACAAAAAAGAAAAAGACACAAGTACTACACATGAACACTAGAATTCTCCAGAAATTACTATGAGGCCAAGCCCTGGGTAATGTTTGGTTGCAAGTAGTTCTGAGTATCCAAACTGAACTATCCTTAAATGAAAGCTTCATCATCATGAATAACATAAGCCATAGATTCTGCTCTTCTACTCTTTTTTTTGCATTTTAAATCATTTTTAAAATTTATATATGACGACGGAATGCATTACAATTCTTACTACATATATACAGCGTAATTTTTCATGTCTCTGGTAGTATACATAGTATATTTCTGCTCTTCTAATATACATCCCATAAATTGGGTTTATTTACTCTTCATTTTACTGCTAATAGGCTACATTTCAATAATATAATCAATGAAGTATTCAAGTGACTGCCATATAGAGAAATCTAACGATTAAAAAGGACTTTTATGGAGTTGAGGGTGTAGCTCAGTAGCGAAACAATTGTTTAGCCTGCACAAGGCCCTGGATTCCATCCCTTGCACCTCAAAAGAACTGGTTTTTCTAATTTAAAAAAGACTTTTAAAATATTTAATGCTTATGGTACACATTAGAAAGGAAACCTAGGTATGACCAACTCTTAGGAAGGAGCTTTTAAAACATTGGCTATCCAGGGTTCAGGATGCAGCTCAGTGATAGCACCTGCCTAGCATGCACAAGGCCCTGAGTTTCATCCCTGGCAGCGCGCGCGCACACGCGCGCGCACACACACACACACACACACACACACACACGAGTGGGGGGAGGAGAAGGGAAAAGGAGGAAGAGGAGGAGAAAAACAACTTTGGCCATTCTTTTTTCTTTCTTCCAATGTTCCATATCCCATGCTTGGTTTTTTTGTTTTGGGGTTTTTGTTTGTTTTATTTTGTTTTTGGTACCAGGGATTGAATTCAGGGGCACTCAGCCACTGAGCCACATCCCCAGCTGTATTTTGTATTTTATTTAGAGATGGGGTCTCACTGAGTTGCTTAGTCCCTCTCCATTGCTGAGACTGGCTTTGAACCCACAATTTTCCAGTCTCAACCTTCTGAGCCGCTGGGATTACAGGCATTTGCCACCATGCCCAGCCCATGGTTTGTGTTTTTTTTTAATAACTTTATTTTCTTATGTGGTACAGAGGATTGAACCCAGTGCCTCACAAATGCTAGGCAAGCGCTCCACCACTGAGCTACAACCCCAGCCCCCATGCTTGGTTTTGCATTATTTTTTTAATTTTAATTTGTTATATATGACAACAGAATGTATTACAATTCATATTACACATATAGAGCACAATTTCTCATATCTCTGGTTGTACACAAAGTAGAGTCACATCCTTAATGTCTTCATACATGTACTTAGAGTAATGATGACCATCGCATTCCATGGTATTTCCTACCCTCTATGCCCCCTTCCTCCCCTTTCCCCTTTGCCCTATCTAGAATTCATTTAATCCTCCCATCCCCTCTGCCCCCCACAGCATATTTTGGATCAGCATCCTTAAATCAGAGAAATCATTCGGCATTTGGTTTTTTGGGATTGGCTAATTTTACTTAGCATTACATTCTCTAGCTCCATCCATTTACCTGCAAATGCCATGATTTTATTCTCTTTTAATGATGAATAATATTCTATTTTGTATATATACCA